TTGTTAAAAATAATAGAAAATAGTATTCGGTCACTTACTCTTTGGTCGAAGTAATATTTACTTAAAATAGTATTCGGTCAAATTAGTATTTTGGTCTAAATAATATTCAGTCAAAATAGTATTTAACCAAAGAAAATAATATTCTTCAAATTAATATTCGTCCGCACAATTAATATTCAATATAAATAAAACTTCCTTTTTTTCATAAATTACAAAAAGTGCGGCTAAAAAAATTTTGTGTGAATGGTAAATGGTAATTTTTTGCCTAGTGAATATTATACGGTCTTGAAGTAATTGTTTTTTTACTTGTCTAAGTGAAAAGAAAAGAAAAAGGAAAAAAAAAATTTTTATGTCTCCCCGTTTTATTCACACATTCTCCCTCTCTCTCTCACTCTCTTCTCTTGGCATTCCCGACACGTGAAATAGTTTTAAAAGGCTGTCCGTGTAATCCCTTTCAGTTGCGCATTTTTTATTTGTCGCTTTTCACCATTTCATCTACTTCACTTTTTTCCCCTTCTCTTTCTCTCTCTTTCTCTCTCTTACTCTTTCGCTATATCACTCTATCAAGATTTACTGATTGCATTTTAAAGTTAATAAAAATAATTTAAATTGTTTTTAAGAAAGAAAAGAAAAGAAAATGGTTAAAATTTATTGGAATAATTGAATTGTTATTAAAATTGAATTCTCATAACGAATTTTATTAACAAATTTTTAAATAATTAAATTCTTTTGATGTATTTTAATAAAATTTTTAAGAATAATTGCATTTTTCGAGAAATTCGATTAAAATTGTATTAAAAATCATTGAAATTCTGCAATGAGTTTTAATATTTATGAAAATAATTGAAATTCGGGGAAGAATTTTATTATTTATAAAGATAATTGAAATTTTGCCAAATTAAAAAAAAAAAAGTTGAAAATAATTGATTTTTATCAAAGAATTTTCTTACTTTACAAAAATAATTAAAACTTTTACGAGGATTTTTTAAAAATTTTTGAAAATAATTGAATTTCGGAGAAGAAATTATTATTATTTACAAAGATAATTGAAATTTTGCCAAAAATTTGTTAAAAATTATTGAAAATAATTGATTTTTATAAAAGAATTTTCTTACTTTTCAAAAATAATTGAAACTTTTCGAGAATTTTATTAAAATTTTTAAAAATAAATGAATTTCGGAGAAGAATTCAATTATTTATAAAGATAATTGAAATTTTGCCAAAAATTTGTTAAAAATTATTGAAAATAATTGATTTTTATCAAAGAATATTCTTACTTTTCAAAAATAATTAAAAATTTTACGAGGATTTTTTAAAAATTTTTGAAAATAATTGAATTTTGGAGAAGAATTCAATTATTTATAAAGATAATTGAAATTTTGCCAAAAATTTGTTAAAAATTATTGAAAATAATTGATTTTTATAAAAGAATTTTCTTACTTTTCAAAAATAATTGAAACTTTTACGAGGATTTTTTAAAAATTTTTGAAAATAATTGAATTTTGGAGAAGAATTCAATTATTTATAAAGATAATTGAAATTTTGCCAAAAATTTGTTAAAAATTATTGAAAATAATTGATTTTTATAAAAGAATTTTCTTACTTTTCAAAAATAATTAAAAATTTTACGAGGATTTTTTAAAAATTTTTGAAAATAATTGAATTTTGGAGAAGAATTCAATTATTTATAAAGATAATTGAAATTTTGCCAAAAATTTGTTAAAAATTATTGAAAATAATTGATTTTTATCAAAGAATATTCTTACTTTTCAAAAATAATTAAAAATTTTCGAGAATTTTATAAAAATTTTTGAAAAAAATTTAATTTCAGGAAAGAATTTTATTATTTATAAAGATAATTAAAATTTTGCCAAATTAAAAAAAAATTGTTGAAAATAATTGATTTTTATCAAAGAATTTTCTTACTTTTCAAAAATAATTAAAAATTTTACGAAGATTTTATTAAAATTTTTGAAAATAATTGAATTTTGGAGAAGAATTCAATTATTTATAAAGATAATTGAAATTTTGCTAAGAATTTTATTAGAATTTTTTTAAATAACTGATTTTTGTAAAAGAAGTTTCTTACTTTTCAAAAATTATTGAAACTTTTCGAGAATTTTATTAAAATTTTTGAAAAAAATTTAATTTTAGTAAAGAATTTTATTATTTATAAAGATAATTGAAATTTTGCCAAATTAAAAAAAAATTGTTGAAAATAATTGATTTTTATCAAAGAATTTTCTTACTTTTCAAAAATAATTAAAACTTTTACGAAGATTTTATTAAAATTTTTGAAAATAATTGAATTTTGGAGAAGAATTTAATTAGTATTTATAAAGATAATTAAAATTTTGCCAAAAATTTTATTAAAAATTTTGAAAATAATTGATTTTTATTAAAGTATTTTCTTACTTTTCAAAAATAATTGAAAGTTTTAAGAGGATTTTATTGGAATGTTTGAAAATAATTGAATTTTGGAGAAGAATTCAATTATTTATAAAGATAATTGAAATTTCTCCAATAATTTTATTAGAATTTTTTTAAATAACTGATTTTTGTAAAAGAATTTTCTTACTTTACCCTTTTGATTTCACTTCATTTAACTTTCACTTACTTTTTCACTTTCACTTCCATTTTTTGATTTTACTTATATTAATTTACACTTCCTTAATTTACACTTCCTAAGTGTCTGTCACTTAAATTTTCACTTTCACTTTCTTTTTTCATTTAATGTAAATTAATTTTCACTTCCCTTGAAAGTGAGCAGGGACGTGAAAATTAGTTAAAGTGGATGGGAAAGTGAAAATTAATAAAAGTGTAAGTGAAAGTGGAAAAGGAATTGAAAATTAATTAAAGTAACAGTGGTGGTGACAGTGCAATGGAAAGTGAAAATTAATGAAAGCGGAAGTGAAAATGGAAGTCGAGGAGAAGTGAAGAGAAATTACTTAATCGATTCCCCGATAAATATTTTCTATAGATCCAATTGACCTACTCTAGTAAATGAATACCAAAATAATTACTACCGCATTATTTTTAAGTAGATCAAATGATGTATGAAGAAAAACAGTTAAATAAATCATTTCGTAGGTGAATTCAAGGTTAAATTATAGTAAATCTTGACGAATGAACGTTTGACATACGTGTGGGACGTGATGCAATGTGCAAGCTTTGAAAAATCCTAAAAGCCTCTCTCTTTCTCTCTTTTCTCGAGGAATAGAGGATTGAGAGTTCAGAGAGAAAGATAGAGAGAAAAGTGAAGGAAAAATATATATAGAGAGAGAGAGAGAGGGACTGAGAGAGAAACACGCTTTTGGTGTGGGCAAAGAAGCGAAGCAACAACATCAAAGAAGGGAAATGTTGTCAGAGCTTCCATACCCATTGAGTCTTTTTTCGTCGATATTTATTTTTGTTTTCACAAATCTAATCGAGATGCCGTTTCATCCCCCATTCAAAGTCGAACATGAAACAAGTTTTTTTTTTATTCTGCCTGTTTTTCCGTTTGAAAATATTCCCACTCCTTTGTTCACCTATATTTATATAAATATAGAGAGAGAATGAGAAAGAAAGGAAATATGAAAAGGAGTAAAAATGGAAAAGTTGTTGTCTGGTACTATAAAAAGAAAAACTGAGATTGCATTTAACTTTGAGGCTTTTCGACACCTTTAGTGACATCTTTGTGAACGAACAAAAAAAAAGAATATACCTTACAGACGATAAAACACAGAAGAAATTTTTGAGTGAACCGGAAAGGAAGTTTTGCGACTTTGTGTGCGGGGAAAAAGGAATGATGAAAATGGAACGAGGTCGAGACTCGCGGTTTTACAAATTGCCCCAAGGATTGTTGAAGGAACGAAGAACGATTACGTATCGTAAAAATAATAGTACGTTTCAAAAAGTTTGGGTCGTAATTCGTCTCCACTGCCTACAGCTGTACCCAAATGGTTTTAACCATATAGTGAAAGCAATACTGGAATCGAAACTGTATATCAATTTTTAAAAAACAATTTGTCAATATATCAACTTTTGTTTATACAACGATAATGTAATACGAACAAATTCAATTTTATTTCCAGAAAATCAACTTTTAGAAATTCAAAAGTTAAAACGAAAATCCAAAGAATTTGATGATTTGCCTAATGGAGAGGAATTTAGGACTTGACGCCTAGTTCTGCATTTCGAACTTTTTCGACCTTGTCGAGGGATGAATTTCGTGCCAAGTCTTGGAAAAGATTTCTTGATTTCCCGACAACTTGAACGAACGATTGGCTCGTATTTCGATCAAAGTGATTCTATCCTTTTTTTTCTGCACGAAAGTGGAGAAAAAAAGAAGAAGAAGAAGGAGAAGAAAGCGAACGAGTAAATTGAATCCACTGGAAAAGGTGGGGCCTGTAATTGAGACGCTCCACGTCGTCGTTGGAAGGGGCGTTTAAAATGTAGACGATGCGATGCACTGCCAGGAAAACTTGTCCAGACCAAATCCCAGCTTTATGACTCTGCAAATGTTAGTTACGTGCAATCCGCGAGTCATTTCCATCCAAATCTACAGTAGATATATTCAAAACTCGTTTTTCTAAATCCCAATGCATGGATTTCAATTTGCAGGGAAAACCTTATTCAAATCAATCAAAAGAGAAATTGGATTCTTGTTTCTGTGGGCGAATATGTTTTCTTATTGAATGAAGGTTATATCTTGGAAATTCACAAGACTAAGTTTAATTTATTTAATTTTAGTATTGACAAAATCTGCATGAAGGTGAGGAAAAGGCTTTTTAAAATTAATAACAAAACTTTAATGGGGGGAAATTTTCAGTTTCTCCTGCACATTTGACGAAAAGGGACAAAATCGACAGGAACATCAGAAGTTAGAACGAGAAGGTCAAGAGTCGTCAGAAACATTGGAATAGCTCCCTGGCTTTTTAGAAGAAAATGTCAAGAATCGTCAGGAAGATCAGCAAAAAAGAGTATTAAATTTAATGATGAATAAAACAAAAATCCAGGACAGCAAAACGCCAGTTACGAGTCGCCCAGTCTTTTTGGAAGAAAAGGTCAAGAATCGTCAGGAAGACCAGCAAAAAAGAGTATTAAATTTAATGATGAATAAAACAAAAACCCAGGCTAGCAAAACGCCAATTACTAGTCTTCCAGTCTTTTCGAAAGAAAAGCACAAGAATCGTCAGGAAGTCCAGCTAAAAACGTTATTAATATTTAATGATGAATAAAACAAAAATCCAGGACAGCAAAACGCCAGTTACGAGTCACTCAGTCTTTTTGGAAGAAAAGGTCAAAAATCGTCCGAAAGACCAGCAAAAAAAAAGGTATTATTATTTAATGATGAATAGAACAAAAACCCAGTCTAGCAAAACGCCAATCACTAGTCAGGAAGACTAGCAAAAAAGGGTATTATTGTTTAATGATGAATAAAACAAAAATCCAGGCTAGCAAACGCCAGTACGAGCATCTACGCATTTTGTATTGAATTTAAATCGGATTAGGATTGAAATTCAGAACCGTAATTTTGATGTGATTTTGGTGAAGCTTTTTTAGTGATTCTTTATACCGAGGGGGAAAAGATATTTTAGAGATGGTTTTAGATTTCAAAGCAGAAGCCCAACAGTAGCGGATGTTCGGCGATTGAATCAAGCCTAGAAATTTTTTTCCACCAGGTTAATTCAAATCAGAAGAAACAATATTAATCATAAAATCTTTTTTTATCGTAGAAATAGTTTTTCCCACAATTTTGCAGATCCTTCGTTTAATTTCCATGCAACATGGTCCTTAGTTGCGTAAATTTTCAAAATCCATAATCAACCCAAGTCCCCTTATATCAATCTACACTCAGGAGAGCTAAATTCTCGTCGCCCTTGCAATGCGGAATCTTGTTTATGAATTACATTCACCTCTTACTATTCAAAGTAATTAAGTCTCCAGAAATCGAAATTGCTTTTCATTAATTCCAACATCTTATTAACCTAAATCTCCTAATGTACCAATTCATATTAAATTAATTAGAAATTCCAAAAATGGGAAAGGGCGCCTTTCTAGTTTTTATTCATCATTAATATAAATACTTTTTTATATTCAAATCCCAATAGTTTCAATTTAATGAAAATATGCACATTGTGGGTAAATGGAAATTGTGAAAAACTATTTCTATAATAAATCGTTTTGTGACATGATGAAGAGATTTCGATACTGAAAAGATTAATATTGGATATTATTTTCCTCGAATCATTTATTGGTATTCCGATTTGAAAAAAGGCGCTTCTGTATAAGACCCGTAGGGACATTTATGTCGGAGATAGAATAACAGTATTACGTGAGTATCAATAAAGTTTTTTTTTCTTGACATTCTTTTTTCTCTGATAAAAATAGGAAAAGAAACACCTCTCTCTATGCAATGAGAGCGCGAAATAAAGATCTGTTCTTGTATTCACAGCGGAGACCTTCCCTAAAGGTTGGGTCCATTTCTCGAGCGCTCTGTTTACGACGGTGCAATAAAACCCACGGATAGCTCGCGTGACGAAACGATCCGTTGGAACCCATTGAATGCAGAATTCGTTCGAACTGGTTTATTGCCGCATTTGGAACGAGCATTCTTCCATGGACACATAACGCATAACATGCGGATCGCTTTAATAATGTCTTGGCCTATACACTTTGGTATATATTGTAATTCGTCAAGGAAGATGATTACATTCGCGAAAGGCATTTTATTTTTCTTTCAGTTTCTTTTATTTCTACTTTTCAAATTGGATAAGTTTCTATAATTATAGTGTCTTAGTAACGATTTTCTTCTATTATTATTATTATCATTATTATTATTGCGGAAAATGTGGAGAAATTTCACCCGAAATTTCAGAAATAACCATTTAATAAATGGTTTGAATTTCGAAAATAAAGTATTTGTGGAAATTCTTTGGAGTTTAAATTAACCACGTCATGGTTGTTTTATCGCTGCGCATATTGTAATTACTGTAACTATACGGTAGCGTTACTTCGACAAGAATCGCGTGTAAGAATTTTAATAGTTCAGTGTTCGCCTGTCTGCCAATCAAAATATCAACAGAACCTACTTGAATCATTTAATATCAAATGTATAAATGGTGTCTGATTTCAGTTTTGACACTATCGACATGAAGGTGAGGAAAAGACATTAAAATTAATGACAAAACTTTAACTGAAGGGAGTTTTCAGTTTCTCTGCAGTTTTGACGAAAAGGTCCAAAATCGTCAGGAGTATCAAAAGGAGATAGAAATAGGTAAAGAGTCATCAGAAACAACAGAGAAAACTTCCTGTCTTCTTGGAAGAAAGGGACCGAAATCCTCGAGAAGTCCAGCAAAAAAAGAGTATTAAATTTAATGATGAATAAAACAAAAATCCAGAACAGCAAAACGCCAGTTATGAGTCTCACAGTCTTTTTGGAAGAAAAGGTCAAGAATCGTCAAGAAGACCAGCAAAAAAGAGTATTAAATTTAATGATGAATAAAACAAAAACCCAGGCTAGCAAAACGTCAATTACTAGTCTTCCAGTCTTTTCGAAAGAAAAGCACAAGAATCGTCAGGAAATCCAGAACAAAAAGTTATTAATATTCAATGATGAATAAAACAAAAATCCGGATTAGCAAAACTCCAGTTATGAATCTCCCATTCTTTTTCGTAGAAAGAGACAAATATTTGCAGGGAAAAATATTTTTGCGGCAGAGAATTAATTTCGCAGTGAAGGGAAACCGTTGTTTCGCAGAATTGGAGATGAGAGGGAAATAAAAAGAAGGCGAAGAAATTAGGTTAGGGATTGGCTCTTGAGGCTGCCGCAATGCAACGTACAATAAATACAAGCGCATTAGCGAAGCTTATTACAGAGTCGAGGCGGCAGCTGCACCCTCTCGTAATCTACGCAACTTATTGTTGCAGACCTACTGGCAACAGTGACAGTTAATATTATGTATTCTCCTAGCAACGCTAATAGTTATCAAACGTTTAAACTACGTAGAGGGCAACGACTCTTATTGTTTTCAAAGCGATCATTTCCTGTTACAATTTTCCACTCGGAGATTTTTTTTTATTGCACTGATCATCATCATCATTGTCAAATCGGATTTTTTCCACCGACAAAAATGAACTTCGATTCCAGACTCTCGTCTGGACTCACTGGACTTTCGTCTTATTTCTTGTAGTTTGAAAAAAAAAATTTTACTAGGATACTTTTAACTATATAGTGTTAAGGCGAAAATCAAATGGATAAATAAGTGAATGGAATTCGATTAAGACTTTAGAAACTTTTCATAAATTCCAAATAAACATCTATGAAAGAGGATGACGTGGACTGTAATAGATGATAATTGACTACAAATCTTGGGCAAGTTTCCCAAGTTCTTAATTACTTTCGGATGATTTACAATCCTTGTGATTCGTTCCATCTTCAAGAAATAAATTTCTCTCCTTCTCCTCGATTCTTCTTTTCATCAGAATTAGTTCTAAATTGTGATAATGAATACAAACAAAAGTCCAGTTACGAGTCTTCCAGGTTTTTTAGCAGAGAAAGTTAAAAATCTTCAAGAAGACCAGCAAAAAAGGGTATTAAATTTAATGATGAATAAAACAAAAATTTAAAGGATGAATTAACCTTCGTGGTTGGTTAATTTTAAGTTGCCCGCAACTCAACATCCTCATGATGCGAGAAACAAAGCAGTACAGTCCACTCAGTGGGAAGTAGTTCTATTTTTTCGAAAATATAACTCCACGTGGAATTCCTCTTTTTTTTGGTCGGTATCAATCTCGATTCTCTTTAACAGTGACAGACCGTAAACATTTTCATCAGATGGAATAAATCCGGTAGGATGGCACGTGATAAAACTGGGGTATTAATTGCTTGATGTTTCAATTTTTCACCGAATGGTGGAAAAAAAATCCACCCCATTAGAAAGGCAAGGTCGTTCCGGAGTTGACACACACTGGCACTGGTTTGGATATATTTATTTTATTATTCAAAGTTTGTCTTTTAAATCCCTCCTGGAATTACATTTTGTCTTTTAAATCTCGTTGGAATTACATTTTGTCTCTCGCTGTGAAAGAGAAACATTCACCCCTTTGACTGGATGGTTTCCCTTTGCCGGCACTCGTGGGACTTCAATTGGTCATTGACCTTATCATTTTTCCTTTTTGTCATTATTTACTCGGGGGGTGAAAAGTGAGAACATTAATAAAAAAAATCAGAGTTAATTTGTTTGCGAAATTTTTTTGCAAACAATTTTTTCTTCCTTTGAAAAGAAATAAATGGTGTGTATAGAATCTCAACATGAAGTTGTAGAAGGTGCTGACTCTGAAATGCTTCTCCCTCGAGGGGTTTGGAACGCGAAATTGCAATCCTGTTTTTCAGGGGCGTCGATTGTCTATCGAATCTTTGTGTGTTTCCCCCTTGATGTGAGCTGAGCATACGCATAGTAACAGGCATCAGTCTCGGGTTTTTATTGCTGTACGTGCGTTCTGGACGAATGAGCACGAGTTGATGGCTCACATAATGCGCGCCTCCTTCCCTCAAGGCGGGGGTGAGATTTTTAGCGATGATTCATCCAGCAGTACTTTCTCTCCTCTCTTTATATGGGTTCTGTTATACATGTCGTACTGAAAAACACTTTCAATACATTATTTGTCTCGTCACTTTGGAATTTTTTTTTCTGACATCAACAAGGAGCTGACGATCCAATAGATGATTTTACCTTTCGTTCGATGCACTTTTTTTTTGTTTAATAATAATTCTTTTTAGAATTGCAGTGGGATAGTGGAGAAATAGGGAAAAATCGTGTTTGAAAACAAATTTGATACTAGAGGAAGCATGTCACGTCTATCGGAATATTGTTCACTGAGGATATCACTAAAGTATCGATTGGATTCGGAGTGCAATTCAATACTTTGAAATTTCAACTGCTATCGTCTGTTACTTTGCAAATTAGTGGAAAAATGGATATTGTTAACTGGACAGTGAATAATCATTATTGCAATAATTTGCAATGTCACAACACTGGGATAGAGAGAAAAAGCTTTATTAGTAGGAGAGACAGCATTGAGTTCGGGTAAGTAAAAAAATAGGAAAACGGTATTAGTATTTAATGGTGAATAAAACAATAATCCAACGAAAAGGGACAAAATCGACAGGAACATCAGAAGTTAGAACGAGAAGGTCAAGAGTCGTCAGAAACATTGGAATAGCTCCCTGGCTTTTTAGAAGAAAAGGTCAAGAATCGTCAGGAAGATCAGCAAAAAAGAGTATTAAATTTAATGATGAATAAAACAAAAATCCAGGACAGCAAAACGCCAGTTACGAGTCTCCCAGTCTTGAGTCTCCCAGTCTTTTGGGATGAAAAGGTCAAGAATCGTCAGGAAGATCAGCAAAAAAAGAGTATTAAATTTAATGATGAATAAAACAAAAATCTAGAACAGCAAAACACCGGTTATGAGTCTTCCAGTCTTTTTCGAAGAAAAGATCAAGAATCATGAGGAAGACCATCAAAAAAGGTTATTAATATTTAATGATGAATAAAAAAATTGCCAGTAGAGGAATCACCTCTATCGTATCATTGTTCCCCAAAGATATTTTCATCATATCAATTGCATTTGGAGTAGAATTCAGTACCAAGTTACACTGGCATATTCCCTTACTTAACAATGTAATGGTGAAAATGGATATTATATAGTGTTGAGAGTGAATATTCATTATTAGTGTTATACCCGAGGACAGAGTAAAGCAATGCAACCGAGTTAACGAATCAGCAATCCGAGAAACCATCTCGTGGTTTGGTGTACAGTTCCGCTTTATACATGTACTTTGCAGTTGCTGAACTGCACTCGCAATCCTCTTTCTCTATGGCTTTATACTGCCGAATGACAAAAGCGTTTTGTTCGATGAACAGAACTCGGTGTACGCTTACATGAACGTGAATCCTCTACCTATTTGTGAGGCACACTTTTGTGCAGTGAGTAACACACAAGTCCCTCTCTCTCTCTCTCTTTCTCTGCTATATATTTTCCACCCATTCTGTTTCTCACTTAAGCCAGCAGTCAAGCTTTCCACTGATGGTTTACTCGCAATTGTTCAGTCTTCACTATTTTTCATACCCAACTAGTGGAACTGATCTGCCGGAAAACCGAGTCGAATATATACTTTCTTACTTCTTCCGTTGTGCGAAGGGAATTTTTGCCTCATATTTTTCGTTTCCTTCCTCTTTCACAGGGGTTTTATATTCTTCGTTTTCTCTCTTTCTCTAGCTTCTGGAAAAATTTGTTGAACTTTTAGATTTAGAATATAAATTTTGTTGACCATTTTAGGTTCAGGATTAAAGAATGTAGATAAATGGATAAAAAAATAAAAATATATTATTTTTAAGTTAAAGGCAAGAGAATGATAATATTACCTTTTTGGCGAGTCCTTTGGTAAATAATAACTCGAAGCAGTATATATAATATGGACTTATATATAGATACACACAGTGGACGAAGTTTATACGGATAATAACTGGGTAAGTACCGACATGCGGGGGTTTTGTGCGCGTATAGAGAAACTGGAAATTGGAAGCCGCGCGCTTGATCCCGTCGTTTACGATGAATCCGCTTTATTTACCCCGCACGCTATATTCTCTCAACAACTTTGATTCTCTTTTTTTTTCCTTTTGTGAATATATATTGCTCGTGATTTTTTTGCCACAATCAAATTTTCTGTTTAGCTTAAATCGATATGGGGATATTTCTAATCGAAAAATATTTCTGCACTTCTCTTCAAGTGCTTTCCATTTTAGTTAGTGTTTTTTTTGTTCGGTATCTTTATTTTTTTCCCAATATCTGAATTTTATCAGATGGTCATCAAATATTAAAATTTAATTTCCGTCATTTCAGAGTATTTGGAATCCAAAACGGTTTTTATTTTAAATTAATAATGAATGGAAAATTTTTATTTCAGAAGAAGAACTGATTGGATGTGGCATTACCTGTCTTTTTGGATGATATGGTCAAAAATTGTCAGGAAGACCAGCAAAAAAGTATTAATATTTAATGATGAATAAAAGAAAAATTCTGAGTATCAAAACAACAATCGGCAGGAAGACCAGCAAAAAAGTATTAATATTTAATGATGAATAAAACAAAAATCCTGAGTATCAAAACAACAATCGGCAGGAAGACCAGCAAAAAAATGGTATTAATATTTAATGATGAATAAAACAAAAAAAGGTGGTTTATAATTTCTAATTTCCATACCATCGAAATATGAACCATTTTCTATCAATTCTCGATAAAAACATTCCTGGTGGTAAAAAAATTAAAAAATTGCATGTCTGCGGCTTTTGGGAAAGAAGAAATAATAAAGAATTGGTCAAGGGGATCTTGTGACCTAGATCTAACATGACTGAAATTAGCCACAAGATTATTGCACATGAAATTTTGTAATTCTAATTTTGTGACAGTAAATTACAAAAGTAAGTTATAGGCTCTAAAGTCATAAACTCGAGGAGCGTTCACTGAAAATAGAATAAACGCGCAGAAGGATGAAAAAGGCATTCTCGCGAAAACGACCTTGTCGGTATAAAACAAAGCAGAAATGGAATTTGCTCTCCGAATAATGACCACCCACGTGATTCCAGGTTTCGTTTTCAAATTCTGAAAAAGAATTATTTTTTATCCTCTTTCTAAATGTACCGGGGAATTTTGTTAATTATCGAAGAAAGTTTTTGTGAGTCGCAGTTTTGCAGAGCAAAAGAGAATTAGGTATGAAATTGAAAAATTAAAAAGTAGGAGACTTTATAGCATTTGGAAAAATTGGACATCGAAATTTTTTTTAAAATAAGCTGAGAGATAAATGATGATATTGAAAAGTGATAAGATAATAAATACACGAAAGGCGCCTTACTACTTAATGAGCCATGTACGGTAATGTAATGTAGCAAGTGTGGATGAGGTAAGAATAGACTATGACGGATGTCTCTCGTCGCTCGTAAAAGCTGTTCCGCTAAACGTCGCATTCTATTACAAGTCACTCTCTACAAACCTTATAAATATATCTACACTACATAACAGATTGAAAATGAAAAAGAATTTATCGCTTGCCAACGTGAATTCATTTCCATTATTTGTCACCAGACAAGATTGGTATTAATGATTGTAATTTTTGATGGAAATTTTGTCCCCCTTCACTAAAGTGACAGAAATTATGTCCACAAGCTTGTTTACTTTGTCATAACAAATATTCCCCTGTTAATAACTCTTCAAATTTTCTCCAACATGGACACGTAGAAAAATTTACTTTCGCCACTCAATAATTTACATTTGCCACGTCAGAATTTACTTTCGCCATGCAAAAATTTACTATCCCCACGCTAGAATTTGCTTTCGTCAATCAAAAATTTACAATCGAACATTGAGTCGAAGAGTTTAAAATTATCAAAACGAAAGTAACAAAAATCAGGAAAAAAAGTATTAATATTTAATGATGAATAAGAAAATTATTTTCACTAATAATAACATTTTTCAAGGAAGTTCAAGTTTTTAAAAAAAGTTTTTATAAAATTCTAAGCAAGAATTCAATTATTTTTATAAATAATAAGATTCATCGAAGAATTTCAATTATTTTTAAAACTATTTTAAATTAATTAATTGGAAAATTCAATTATTTTTACAAATAAAGTTTTTCGCAGGCATTCAATTATATGTATTTAAAATAAAAAAAAAAAATTCATTATTTAAAACAATGTTTATAAAATTTTTTATAAAAATAATAGAATTTTATTGAAATGTTTATAAAATTCTTATAAAGAATCCAATTTTACATAATAACAAATTTTTTTTTAAAAATTCAATTCTTTTGAAACATTTTAATAAAATTTTTTGCAATAATTCAATTATTTTCATAAATAATAATTTCTTTCTCAGGATTTCAATTATTTTTTAAAATTGTTATTAAATTTATTGCAACTATTCAAATATTTTCATAAATAATAAAAGTCATCGCAGAATTTCGATTATTTTTCAAACATTTTTACAGGAATTGCTCAACAAAATGTAATAATTCTTAAAATTTTAATTTCAATTCCTCAAAAAAATCAATTATTCAAAAAAATGGTTTTTTTAAATTCTTTAAAAGAATTCAATTATTTTCAAAATTAATAAAATTCTTCGCAAAAATTCAATTCAATTGTCGTCAACATTTCAATTATTTTTATAAATGAATAGCAGAATTTTTCGACAAAATTCAATTATTTTCAGGAATTTTGATAAAATTCATTGCAAAATTCTATTATTTTTATAAATGACAATATTAATCACAAGAATTCAATTATTTTGAAAATTAATAAAATTCTTCGCAAAAATTCAATTATTTTCCAAAGACTAAAAAAAAATTCTTCAACATTTCAATTATATTTATAAAGGAATAACAAAATTCTTCGACAAAATTAAATTATTTTCAGAAATTTTAATAAAATTCTTTGCAAAATTAATTTATTTTCATAAATAATAATATTCATCAGAAGAATGCTATTATTTTCAAAAATTTTAATAAAATGCATGGCAAAATTTCAATTATTTTTAAAACTGTTTGAAAATTCTCTTGAAAATTTCAATTATTTTAATAATTAACAAAATTCTTCTCCGAAATTCAATTATTATTAAAAATTTTAATAAAATTCTTTAAAAAATTTCAATTATTTTCATAAATAACAATATTCATCACAAGAATTTAATTATTTTCAAGAATTTTATAAAATTCATTACAAAATTTAATTATTTTCAAGAATTTTATAAAATTTTTCTACAAAATTCAATTATTTTCAAGAATTTTATAAAATTCATTACAAAATTCAATCATTTTCAAGTATTTTATAAAATTTTTCTTCAAAATTCAATTATTTTCAATAGTTTTATAAAATTCATTACAAAATTTAATTATTTTCAAGAATTTTATAAAATTCATTACAAAATTTAATTATTTTCAAGAATTTTATAAAATTCATTACAAAATTTAATTATTTTCAAGTATTTTATAAAATTTTTCTTCAAAATTCAATTATTTTCAATAGTTTTATAAAATTCATTATAGAATTCAATTATTTTCAAGAATTTTATATAATTCATCACAAGAATTCAATTATTTTCATAAATAAAAAAATGCTTTTTTAGGAATTCAATTATTTTGAAAAAAAATTTAATAAAATACCACACAGATATTCAATTATTGTCAAAAATTTTAATATAATTCTTTGTAAAATTTAATTATTTTAAAAAACTTTTCGAAATTTAATAATTTCCCATATTTTTTATTTTCATAAAATTCCCAAACAGAATTCAATTATTTAAAAACATTTTAATATAAAAATCTTTGTGAGAATTCAATTCCTTTCATGGATAATAAAAATTTGTTATGAATTTAATTATATAAA